TCGCACATGTTTACATCTAAGTTGAAAGTAGAATCGGTAGTGCTAGATCGCATGCTTATGGTATCCACGCCAATTAGTGGTGCATTATGTACTGATGTAATGTATAAGTCGTGTGGGGTAGAAGTAGCATAGAGGGAATTGGAGGAGAATTTGATTTCATTATATATTAGAGATTTTGATGTAATCTTAGGTATGGACTGGTTTACCGCACATTATGCACATATAGACTATTTCTTAAGGAGGTTATGTTTAAAATTCCTAGTGAAGAGCCTTTTTCCATATAAAAAAATGTAATGTGTGACTAAAGTACAATAAATCAGAGTTTGTTGGACAAAGTGACAAATAGTTGTATTTCTTTTACTACTTTTGTATGATGTTGCATTTTGTACTGACGATCTTTATAAGCATAGTGTGGATACTCTTGCATCTATGGATTTATAAGGCAAATCTCTTACAAGTGTATTTGATAGGAAACTGGGGTAAAATGATCATGTTTCAGGAGATACCAGTGGTAATGGATTTTCCTGATATATTTCCAGAAGATCTCTCTGATCTACCACTAGACCGAGAGGTGAAATTCACTATAGAGCTACAACCTGAGACTCAGCCCATTTCTAAGGCCCCATATTAGATGGTGAGATCGGAGTTATTGGAGTTAGGTAAATAGTTATAAGAGTCATTGGACAAGAAGTTCATGAGACCAAATGTATCGCCATGGGGTTATTAGTAAAATTTTTTATTATCATTAAAATGTGAATATATGTGCAGTCCAGGATTGGCATTGAATGTTTATGAATTCTATCTCATGGTCCGTTTATTGACTATAACTATAACTGTGTCCTTGAGGGATGACTGTGTCTCTGGGAAAAATTTGAGTCGTAATTATAACTGTAACTATGACTTGTTGAAGCTATAATTTGGTCCATGTTGATAGTGTGAATTATCATATCTTTCTGTGATTGTGACTGAATGATATTATGTGATACGATAATGAATCTATGTGATATATGATTGGTTATATTGGTGAATGAAGAGAATATGTTATTATGTGAATATGTATATGAGATAGGGTATTCTATATGTTTAAGAAAAGGTATTATTATGTGAATATATATAATTAATATGAATATAATATTGCATTTATGAGATTGTGTATAAACCAAAAGTAATTTATGAGAATGTAGTTATGTAATAGTGGGTACCTTTTGGATTATTTGAAATATGAGAAGGAAATATATTCTATATGTGGATTGGTGCAATCAATGTGATTATGACGTTATGGAATTGAGATTGAGAAATAATGGATATCCTTTGAATGAAATGATGTATTTATAAGTGAAAACATGTTATTAGTACGATTTGCGTAGTTATAGTAGGATGTGGAAATCAGATGGTTGTGAAGGGCGTGGTAAGCTTGAGGTAAAGGTAATGGTTCGAATCAGTATATTATCTTCGATCTCTGAATTAAGGTCTTAAATTATTCTTGCTGGGCAAGTGGTGACTCACTTATTTTTTATAAATTTCAGAATAGGGAGTGCAGGACCAAGTCGAAGAACCGTCAGAACAGGAAGATCTTGATTAAAAAGAATAGATAGATTTGTTTTTTTTTTGTGAATTTGATCTTTCAAGTTTTAAAACATCATTTGATCTCTTAGATTTCAAGTATATTAGGAAAATGTTTTAAATACCTTATAATATGTTATAGTTGAAGCATGTTGGAATTAGTAGTGAGAATGACAATCCTTATGGAAATATATAAATGTTATTACTTATTTCGATATATATGAATGAAAGATAACAACCATATTACTTATGAAATTTCGGGTTGTTACAATATTTCTTTTTAATATTATTACAAATAATTTTTTTTATTAATTGTATGTTCTTTCAGTATTAAAAGTTATTATAATGAAATATATAGTTTTTAATTTAGTTTATTCTTTCCTTATATTTTCTTTTCGTAACTTCAATATCAACAGTTATTTTAATATAATATACAGTTTCTATTTTTAAAAATGATAATACTTTCTATCATTATTTTTACTAAATACCTAAAAAAAATTCATTAAAAATACTTTTATTAAAAAGTTATTTTAAGAATATTTTTATCACTCGTAGCAGAATCTACTCTCATGTCAAAAATATCCTTATCTTGAATTAGATATGAACTGACTTGAAATCAAAATATTATTTTTATTTAAATTATTATTTTATTTATATTTTTATTTTATAAAACTAAAATATATACTAAATACAATCTTAAAGTAAACTGAACAATAAGAGTCCATTGAAATTCTGTTTCAAAATTAATTATGGTCTATATTTGGAACAATTCATAAGTGCTGTGAGATTCACTTGGAACAAAAAATTTGAGTTCATATAGACTTTATAAAGCATCGAAATAATATATACTAAGTTATATAGAAGTTGATAGAATTTAGAATATGTTAATTTAATTTCATGTAAAATTGTATAGACATAAATGCTATTTTTTACATGCCTTTAATGATATAGGAACTTGGATAATAGACACAGGTGCCACATCACACATATGCCATGATTTCAAAATGCTTTCAAAATCCGTAAAACTAGAACTTACAGTGCCTGTCTCGCTACCAGACGGAACCACGAGTCATTCAACCCACAAAGGAACCATAAAGCTGTGTGATAATTTAATTATACAGGATGTCCTCTCTATACCAAAATTCACTTGTAACCTTATTTCTGTTAGAAAACTAACTCAAGCTTCAAATACCGACATTTCTTTTTATGTCAACCATTGTTTTGTGCGAGATTTAACAACTAACAAAATATTGAGGAAGAGAACAATAATGAAAGGCTTGTACACCCTGAGTGAAGACATTGACTCTAACAAAGCATGCATCAGCCACACCCAAGAAAACAACCTACAACTATGGCACAAAAGACTCGACCACACATTTACAAAAAAATTGATCCATATTCCCAGTCTAAAGTTACCAGACAGTGCAGCTCTACATGATTGTGAAATATGCCCATTGGCAAAACAACAACATTTGTCTTTCCCTAAAGGTTTCATCAATACCAGTGATATTTTTAGTTTAATACATGTTGATCTTTGGGGACCATACCCAGTCAATTG